CCTTCTCTTTGCTGCTCTTCCTTTTAAATCTGTATCTCTTCTCATGCTGGGCAGGACTTCTGTTTTGCAGCAGACTGCCTTGTCTCTGGAATGGCTACATGGTGTCTGTGTGTACGTTTGCAACCTGAGCCAGCACTACAGGAAGAGGCACTCAGCTGCAAAGGGAAGTTCTCCCCAAGCATGAGAAGAGAAGGATTTAAAAGGAAGAGCAGCAAAGAGAAGGGAAACAACCATGGATTACAGTAAGGCACACATTACAGTATTGGTTTATGTTAAAAAAGTTGAGGGTTTAATGTCACTTTGTTTAGTTATTGGCTGCTCCAAACTTAGGAACAGCTAATAATAACCTTAGAGACTGATCCTGACAGCATGTCAGAATCAGATCTCACTAAGGCTGGGTTCACACCTGGGCATTTTACAGCGCTGATCAAAGCGCTGTAAAACGCTCAAACAGTGAAATCCCATTATTTGTTATGGGCATGGTTAGCACCTGGGTGTTTTTCAGTGCAGAAAAAATGCCCAACGCGTGAAATACTACCGGAGCTTCTTTCGGGCGTATTTCAGCACGTCTCCATTTGCCCTTGTTATCTGGATTTCGTTTGCGGCGCGTTTTGTGGCTGGAAAAGCGTCCGGCACGAAACGCGCTGCAAACGCACATATTATGTACGCCCAGGTGTGAACCCAGCCTAAAGGTTCTTGATCGTGCCTAGATGATCAGAAGTGATACATTTCAAGTACAGAGATACATTTGTATCTCTGTGCTTGAAATGTATTGTAAACATTGGCTAGGATATCTAGCTGTCAAAAGGAATAGCAGAGAGGTGAGTCACTGCTACCTCTCTGCTATCTTCAGCTGTCAAATACGGGTTTGCTATTTAGCATCCCGCATTTGTATGCAACGGCTTCATTCTCTCATTAACGAAAGAAACTTTTACAAAAGCTCAACTATTTCATTAATGAATGCCTCATTACTGAGGCATTCATTAATGAATGGTAACAGCTGAGAATCAGCTGTTACTGGCATTACAGAGCCTGATATAACTCTTCACGTACAGTGTACGTAGCCAGTCATATAGGCACTTTGTGACGGGACGTACACTGTACGTCTCCCGTCATGAAGGGGTTAATATTCTTATCAAAATATTGTTATGGTTATTATTCGTGCTAGTATAGGTTTTATCCACAGCTCCCTAGTAGTGTTCTGACTATGCTTGCCTCCTGTCTTTGATACATAGTTTATGTTCAGATCAACCACAGGTATTGTCCCAGTTGAACACTGCCAGCTGCTACAGAGAGTTAGCCAGGACCACACGTTTTGCTATAGGGCCATATGATGTGTAGTTACACCCCTGGGTGCCACTTGGCACTTCCAGGTGCCTAGATGTCAATTCAGCTTTTCTTTTATGCTCCCAGGGAGGCCAGAATCCTGGGTTGCACTAGAATACAAATTGCTACCAGCTCTCATGATTGGAAGCTTGAGCCCCACCCCCCTTCCTGGTCAGTTATGGGCCAGTAGCAATGTGGAGCATTAAGGGTGCATTCACATCTCTGGGTCTTGGCGTTTGTGGGTGTGGTATGACCATAGGAGCAGGTCCAAATTTACATACCAGAATTCTGCAGAACTCAGAGCCCCTGGGACCCTCAACTGTAATGCTCAAACGCCATACCAAATCAATGATGATTCAGGAACTTTAATATGACGTCTAGGATGCTTTAAAGGTTCTGTTACATTGCTTATTAGTTTGACCCAAAATTAGTCCGATTTTTAATGAGTTAAATGTTAACAAAAAATAAATAAATCCAAAAACTCACCTAAGCAAATATTGGTCCAATGGCAGCTCTCATTTTCCAAGATGGTCAAATGGTACGCTGGCCTGAAGAGAAGAGAACAGCAAAAGGTCAAAAGGACTGCCAAACGCTAATCAAGGAACAGAGTGTATGTAAACCCAAAGAATGATCCTATTGGCATTTTGTTCTGTTTCACAAGTGCATAAAAAAAAAGGAACAAAAAAAACTTTATCTTCTCAAAAAGTATGGAGCGTTCAGGTGTTCTCTGCATATTTCCTGCATAATTCCTCTGATCTCGAGGAGTCTGTTAAATCCTCCTAGTCATCATCTCAGACTACAGGACAATTAGTCTTTTATGTTGGAAAGATCCAAAAGTGGGAGTGGCTGAATAGTTCAGCAAAAGACATTGGGCAGGGCACCCACTTCCCAAAAATTCTGTGTGTTGTCAGCCAACAGAGCGTAAGAGTAGAGTGCATTTCTGGCAGATCAAAATATATTTTGTTGTACTTGCAGGGTCTTTAAAAGGGATAAAACACTGAGAAAATGTGAATGTATACTGCAGCGATGAACTGCATTTCTTTTTTTCTTGCCTCTATTATACTTGCAGCACTACTTGTTCAACTTTAAATGCACTTGTAAATATACAGTGCATTCAGAAAGTATTCAGACCCCCTTCACTTTTTTCAATCTTATGTTGCAGCCTGATACTACAGATGTTTAAATTCAGTACCTCATAATGACAAAGTGAACACAGAATTTTAGAAATGTCTGTGCATTTATTAAAGACAAAACTGAAATATCACATGTACTTAAGTATTCAGACCCTTTACTCAGTACTTTGTTGAAGCACCTTTGGCAGCAAATACAGCCTCGAGTCTTTTTGGGTATGATGCAACAAGCTTTGCACACCTGGATTGGGGGATTTAATGCCATTCTTCTTTGCAAATCCTCTCAAGCTCAGTCGGGTTGGATAGGGACAGTCGGTGGACAGCCATTTTCAGGTGTCCCCAGAGATGTTCAATAGGGTTCAAGCCAGGGCTTTGGCTCAGTCTCAGCTGTGTGCTTAGGATCGTTGTCATGTTGGAAGGTGAACCTTCAGCCCAGTCTGAGGTCCTGAGTGATGTGGATCAGGTTTTCATTGAGGGTATCTCTGTACTTTGCTCCATTCAGCTTTCCCTCAACCCTGACCAGTCTCCCAGTTCCTGCTGCTCAAAAACACCCCTACAGTATGATGCTGCCACTACCATGCTTCACAGATGGGATGGTATTGGGCAGGTGATGAGGTGCCTGGTGTCCTTCAGACAGAACATTTAGAATTAAGGACAAACAGTTCATTCTTGGTTTCAACAGACCAGATTATCTTGTTCCTCAGTCTGAGCGTGTGCCTTTCCAAATCATGACTAATCAATTTAATTTACCACAGTTGGACTCCAATGAAGGTGTAGAAACATCTCAGCAACGATCAAGAGAAACGGGAGTCACCTGAACTAAATTCCAAGGGTTGTTGCAAAGGGCCTGAATACTTATCAGAGAGGAGAGCGGGTACAAACGCTCAGCGGTCACTGAGTGTTTGTAACTAATTGAGGACATGGTAGGGTCACTATATCCTCAATTATGAATGAATGGGAGTGATCTACATCACCTCCTGTTCATTCATGATTGTGGTTATAGTAAACACACCTTGTCCTCATGAATGAACAGGAACACTCAGTATAGAGGATTCCTGTTCATTTATAACAGGGGCTGCAGAAAGAGATTTAGGACTGTGTCCTCATTCTCTTTTTCCATTTTAAAAAAGGGAAATATCAGGGGTCTGTTTAGAACCCTAATATTTCCCCGAAGCCCCTAAAAGTAAAAAATTAAAATATTTAATAAAAAATAAAGTTTATTGCGCGAGGCGTGAAAGGAGGAGGGGGCGACTTCTGATGTAAAGGCTACTCTGATGTGAAAGTGGAAATTCTGATGTGAAGGGATAAAGGTCTGGTATGGATTTTGGTGGAGCCACATTTTTTTATTTTTTTCAGTTGGTTATTTTACATTTCAGTGTCGCCTCAAGATTTTGCATACTTTTATAGTTGAATCGAGTTTATTTATAACCAACAGATGGTACACAAGTATGAGCTATACAAACAATGTGGCACCAGATAAGGTAGACAAGATAAGATATCTGGGTTCATGACATATCTATGAAACGTGAATAACGCACAGCAGCAAAAACATTAAAAAGGAAATAATGAAAGTGCAGTATACACAACTGAAACTTTGATAATAAAAATGTGATAAACAGTCAGGGCGAACGGGTTTGCTTTCTGTACGGTTGATGACGTGATCAGGATGTATTTCTCGTTAAGAAGAGAAAGGAGATAAGAAGGGAGGAAAGATGAGAAATAGAAAACCAGCAGAAAGGGGAGATGCGAGAGGAAAAGGAACGGAAAAAACAGCAGAAAGGGGAGATGCGAGAGGAAAAGGAACGGAAAAAACAGCAGAAAGGGGAGATGTGAGAGGAAGAGGAACGGAAAAAGAGAAAAGATGGGTAAAGAGAAAGGAAGGGGAGGGTGACCCAGGGAGTTAACATCGAGGTACCGAAAAACTAGTAAAAGGGTGAAAGTTTCACATGAACTTACCTAGATCAGCAGAGGTCAAAAGGTGTAACCACAATAACCATTGAACAGAACAATGGTCTAAATTTATCAGTAGCAAGAAGTTCCTCACTGACATGACTGACCCAGAGAGATACTGGAGGAGTAGAGGACATCTTCTAAAATAGAGGGATAAGTTGGCGGGCTGCCTCCAAAACATGACTTAATGGAATCCATTTTTTATACTTTCAGGAGACAGCTCTAATGTATCTCCAATTAAATTATTATTAATTACAAAAATGCGACGCCAGAAAGGCAAGGACAATCCCACCAAATTTGTAAGAAGGTGCCTCTAGACTACATACATCTCCAATAAATATCTGAAGTTTGGAAATATACAATGAATAGAGACAGGATTCCAATACCTCTAGGAGAGGATTTTGAAGTTTTCCTCCTGGGCGTAACTAGACACAGAGGATCTATATGTAAAATAGGAAACAGTATCCCAGTCCTCCTATGGTAAGGCACAGGAAAGGTCATTATGCCAAGCATCTGTAAAACTTGGCGGCCGAGTAGGAATTTTAGCCTGCAACATCCCATATATAAATGATTTTGTATGACCTGGCGTTTCCGAGAGGATAAGTAATTGTTCAAATGGAGTCAATGTTCTATGTATCTGTACAGAATTATGTAGAGTCCTACATAAATGTGAGAGCCGATCGTCCAATAACCAATGCTCAAGATTTTGAATACTTTTAAAGACTGCCGTGGGTGGCTGAAAAAAGGTTGAGAAGCACTGGGCTAAAGCAACAGTAAATGTAACATTTCTGCAGAAGTTGCAGGTGCTTACAAAGAGTATTATACAGAGATGTAGCTGGACAATGTGAGCAATCAAAACACACCTTGGCATATTACTATCTGGAAATCTCAGAAGCTCCATTTTGGGTGGATACTAGTAGGCTGAATCACCCATTGACTTCTTATATCTCATGGGCTATCACATGGTTTAATCCCTGCACCCATATTTCCATACATGTTCACCAGCTGCAGCCCTTATGATGGATCTCACTCTACATCTAAGAATTTTCAGTTTAGCATAGTATAAAATGCAGGTGGAAGATAGAGACTCTGGCCTCAAGTCATAAATAAAGCAGTAGGTGAACAGTCTAAGTATTTAGTGGAAGATATGGGGTTCTCTCACAACGTAATGTAATTTAATCATTTCCCCAGTGAAACTAGGATTTCTCAAAATTGAAGGAAAAAAGAAATCTGTCTCACAAGAGTATGGTCTCACCTGTGATGCTGAAATTCGTGAAACTTCTTGTCGCCCTGTGAGATCAGATGAAGAGACATTTGCTGGAGCACCTCGATGTAACCTCATGCTGACCTTGCGCTCTCTGTCCACCCGTGAGATTGCCCGAGGAGAAGTGTTACCTGGAATATTAATAGGAAATTAGTTAGGACTGCTAACAAGTACTCAAGACCTTCGAACAAGTGCCACTGCTTTTGAAACCCATAAAGAAAAATGCCAAACAAAGCAGGTATTTGAATAAAATAAGAAAAAATAGCTACGATTAAAAAAACACTCTTTGTAAAACTTGCTTACCACTCTGCTGAATCCGGGATGCTGGTGTAGAGGCTACAGGTTCTGCACCATTTCTGAGTCGGTTAGGAGCTGCACCAGTGGGAGGACCAGGGGGTAACACTCTAGTTGTAGAGCCTCTAAGTTGGCCCATTCTTTCTTCTCGATCGTGTTCTCTTCTTTCCCTGTCCATATCTTCTGGATTCCGGGCTGCACCCTATATAGAACACATTTTAGAATTTTATTTAAAAAAGAATAAAGCACATGAAAAATATGTTTATGATATATGCAGGAAATCAGAATGTATTCTTAAAATTAAACTTGTCACAAGCTCGGGAAATTCAAACTCAGCATATGATAATGCATAAGTAGATGCTACCGTCAGTGAAAATCACATGTTAAAATGATCAATATATCCTGATACATGAGCCACACACATACACATATATAGGCTAATTTCTACCAGGTTCTTAACCAGTCCTGGACCTTGGGTGTTTCCCATATGTGCTAGCTTTGAAAGGATTGCAACAATCTTACAGCTGCAGCAAGCTATCTACTATTCAGTAAAAGTGATGTGGTTGGCTGTAGAGCTGCCTCATCACTTTTACAAGTCTCATAATCCCATAAAAGTTTTCTGCAGAGTGTGAACCTGGAAATGCTCTGCTCTACGCACTTCTGAGTTAAGCACTGTCAAAATCCTAATTGTAAAGCCAAGTAAACAGATTGTCTGGAGCAGAGAAAAGGAGAGACAGTAGGGATCTAATAAAACCCTGATGTCGCAAAGTACAATGTGCCCTGTTTGGCTTGAGCAGCTTGTTAGGTCCCTTCTGATACCAATAACGTTATGTGAAAAAATAAGATGTGTTAATTAAAATATGATAAAACAAAAATGGAAAAAAATAATTTTAAATGCACCCCGTGTGTGTGTGCTTGTATGTATTTAACACTTCCCATATACTTGTATATTTAGTGACTAAAGAAACTCATCTAGATGTTTCTTGAACCTATCTACGCTATCAGCGCATACCACCGCCTGTGGAAGGGAATTCCATATTTTTACTACTCGCACAGTAAAAAGCCCCCTGTCACAACCGCTTTAGACTGAGGAGTGGTGAAGGCATTCAAAGCATCAGCTATTGATAACTTTTGGAATTTTTTGCCACTTTGGAGGTGCATGCAGTTTTGAGATTTCACATATGTGGCATCTATTTATTTTTTACAAATAAATTGGGGATTATATTGTGTTTGTGTGCACTAAAATTCTGTTTAGTATACTTTTTACTGAGTATTATTTAGAGTTTAGGGATGCACGGATACCGGTTTTACGTTATCGAGCACCGATATTTTGTTTTTCAGTACTCGCCGATACAGAAACAGACATCCCGCGGTAAAGTGAGCCTGGCTTATCAAGAAACTGGGCACCAGATCATGACCCACCACCCGGATTCCCGATCGCCTGGGAAGATGGTGTTCCTCGTGAAGAACACCGGCTTCACGAGGCAGCCTGGCTTCCTGACCGATCAGGAAGATGGGTGGCATGTCATGACACGCCTCCCGGCTTCCTGATTGGCTAGGAAGCCAGCTTTACTTAGTTCTTGCTTGGTGGCCTGACTTCCTGATTGTTCCGGTATCAGGGTAAGTATGAGTGCATTTGTTAGAGTATGAGTACTTGCCAAGATAGGCAGTATCGATGCATCCCAAATAGAGTTGATAAACATTAGCAACATTACAACAACCATCTTTTTATTCTACAGGGCCTCAGCTTCCAGAAGATAATGTTTTGGGGGTTTTAAGTAAAAATCTAGTAAAAAGTGCAGATTTTACAATGTTTTTGAAAAAAACAATTAGGTGAACTTGGGCAACACTACCAATCAAGTTCACAGTCACATTTTGGTCACTATACTCAATGTGATATGTTAGCATTGAGTATCTATGAAAACGTCCAAACTCCTTACAATAAAAAGGCAGCCGACGTGCAGCATGCTGTTGCAAATCATCTTATAAAAGAAGGCTAAACAAACATCCAAGTATGGATTGGTAAACAGACATTAGTCTGGAGAGAAGGCAGCAGCTTTTTACAGGAGAAAAAGACGGACTGAAAAACTCCATGTTAGATACTCATTTTATACTAAGAGTGCTCAGCCAGGGAATGTAATGGAGGGTCCACTTGCCCAGTCAGCAGGAACCTTTAAAAAACTTAATTTTGTAGATCTGTTCAGTTTGTCTACTTTTCTATCAACCTGTGAGAAGTGAGATTAGGGCACATTTTTTTTAACCCAAGGAGCTTTGAAGGTGACAAGCGAGTTAACTTTTTGAGAAATAAATCCTAAAATTAATCCTTTACTCACAAATTTCAGCATGTTCCAGTCAAAAACATAGTCATATGAGAAGCCTTGCCGATGGAAGAGGTTACGGAATAGCTGTCTCAGGTACGAATAGTCTGGCTTGTCATCAAACCGAAGGGAACGACAAAAATTCAGATATGTTGAAAACTCAGCTGAAAAGAAAAAAGTTAGGATAGTGTTAGCAAAATCTTAGGGCCCATTTACAATTTGCACTTAAGCTGGCTACACACGGACATATTTTTTCCATTCAGCCTCACAGGCCAAATGAAAAAAACATGACAGACTCCTCCATCCATAACAGCATGGGTGAATTAATCTCCTGCTGAGTACACTGTATTCTGACAGCAGAGCTGCCCGCTGTCAGAATACGTGAATGGTACTTGCAGCTGATTGGCTGCAATCTAATGATGGACTTTGCCAAGGATAGGGCCACCCCATAAATCAAAATTTGATCCGTGTATCCAGCTTTACAAATGTATCTTTAACCCCTTCATGACTGAGGCCTTTTTTTCATTTTTTGCACCCATGTTATATTCCACATTTTAGGCCTGAAAATTACTTAAAAACCCCAAACATTATATATTTTCTGAATGCCAAGACCCTATAGAATACAATGGTGGTAGTTGCAAATTTTTATGTTGCGCAATATTAGCGCAACTCCTTATTAAACCCCAAAATGTAGTGACAAATGTAATTAAATGCCCCAAAACACAACAAAATACCCATTATTTTAATTAAATATAAAATATGAGGTTACAACGCGTAAAAAGGATACCCAACATGCCCAGTTTACAAATTGCGTGCGTCCGTGAAACAGTGAAAAACTGCAGTACCCCAAAAAGTCTATAGAAGACGCTTTAAAAGCCCCCACAGGTCATCAATTTAGAGATACCCCAAAATACTAGCCCTAGAATTATTGCTCTCACGCCGGCGTGCGCGGCGATACCCAACATGTGTAGCGCGTTCGACTTTTTCTTGCATAGGCGCACCCGGCGCGTGTTTACGTGGCGACGCGCGTGCTCGCGGGGG